TTACAATAGAGAATAAAATTGCAGCGTTTTTTATGCCAAAATCCACTTTCTAAGGGTATACCATATTTTGGTTGCTGCCGATAGCATTTTTTTTCGAGAGTCACAAAAGGCGTATACAATTTTTGATAAAATAAGTATACCAAGAAGCTGCTTGCGGTTATAAAATAAAATATGTTGCCTAGGCTTCCGTTAAATGGCGTTTTCGTCATTGAGGGGAAGACATGCGATAAATTATTTGGCCGATCTTCAGCAATGATGGAACGCCATTGGACATTTATTGTTTAAGCTTAACTCACGTAGGTGAATCATAGCTGAGCAAAATAAGCAGCCCACATTATCATCGGATTTCCGTTGAAATTTAACTGAGTTGTTAAAAAATGACTGACTTGGCAGCATGTTTGAAATATTTTAGAGGTGCTTAATGTATACAGTCAACACGTATCCATAGTATACAAATATACAATATATATATATATATATATATATATATATATATATATATATATATATAATAATTGATCAACATGACGCCATCGATTCGGAACCGTCATTGTTGCAGCTACGAATGAGTAGTATGAGTATGTTGGGCTCAAAATAGGAATGATGGAAGGCCGACTGCATCATCACTATGCGGGAATCTTAGAATTCAATTGTGATAAGATTAACTTGATTATATAAGTGTGCAAATATCTGTAATCCTACAGTCATGTGTGTTCCACAAAAGACTTGAAGTAGTACGCTCAAGAATTTCGCATTGTAGTCATCTATTCAAATTAGTAACGATAGCCACCAAAGGCCGTTAGAGACCCGGTTCAATTAACCCCAAACAAGTGAGCGGCGGCAATGAAAAATTACATACAATGCCTGGAAAAATGACACATACTATATACAGACATAAGTCGGATCAGACTCTGGCTGCTCACAAACCGCAAAGTGGGCCAAATGCCAGGGAACATAAGAAATGCTTCATGTCAAAGCTGCCGGCGACGGCAACCCACGCCGAAATGCTCAAATGGAGTTGAGCCGCTTAGAGTTGCTTTTTGGCAGGCCAGGCTCAGCTTTCTAAGTAATGCTATAAAGCCATGTGTACCTACATACTATATGTACATGTAGGAATTGTTGAATGTGTGACTATGCGTGTACAATGCGACCAATTTCATGGAAATCTTTGCACCATTTGAGCTCTGCCTGCCCTGCCTCTAATTTAATTAGCAACGCAACAGTTAGGCGCAGGTCCGGGCTTCTGGGCTCTCAACTAAGAATGCAACTAAGTCGTGCTGCAGCGCCTCGTCTGGCTCATTAGAGCTGGAAAACTCGTTTCTTAGGCCCACTTCTAAGTTTGTATGTGTCTGTGTAGTTTGTATGCGTTGTTGGAAAATATGTGGCTCTGCAAACATTGCATTTTATCGTTGGAATGCGCGCTCAGCTCAAGAACTCCAGAACGTGTCTGGCGGCCGACTATGGCTTTGACTCTGGCTGTGGCTATGGCTGTGACCCAACCAACTGGTTGCTGGCAACGTCAGCAATTTGGCCGACGTTTTTTTTTTTTTTTTTTTTTTTTTTTTTTTTTTGTATATCTGTGAATTAAACATGTATGTCGCTTCCTATGCTCAACATCATAATTCCAACAGCATCTAATGGATCTAAGCGGCTAAATCTTGTCAAGTCATCGTCTCCATCAGGGTCGCAAACTAGACACGCTGCTCCGATTCGGCGACAAGGCAAACTTTCACGTTGCTTGAAAAACGTCTTCTGGCTCCGAAGTGCTTTTGAAAATAGCAAGAAATTTTAATAAAATTATTTTCAATTATTTGTTGACAATAATAGACGAATGATAGCGATTCACATTTACTATGTTTATCTTTATCTTAAAATTGCTTTGATCTGTATGACACTTCGCATACCCTTTCCGGAACTATAACAACTTGTGCGTATTACATATATTTGCAACATTTTATTCCTTTGGTATAGTCTTTGATACTCATATAAAGAGACATATGTTATAGGTACATAAATGGTCAGCATGAGTCGGTATAACCCTATTCATTTGTCTGTTTTTTCAGCTGGATCAAACCACTATATCATATGGCTTCCATAACAACAATTCGCCAGTTTTGCAATAGCCTTTTCGTTTTTTAAACTACCTCAACCAAACTAATATTAGTGTTGCCTTTTTCAGACTTTAACTAAACGGGACTATTAAAGTTCTGAACAAATTTGTATGTACAAATGATTGTGCTATTTACATAAAAAAACAATGGGTGTATGACATTGTATGTTCCTGTCCTCATTTATATATCCTTTTACTTATTCACCTTCTAAGCAAAAAAACATTTCAGGGCATGTGTATAGGTGGCCTAAAGCTTTCTAACACGATTAAAAAGCAAGCTTTCAAAAATCATCTTCTAAACTTGTTTGCGAAATTTTCCATTCATTGGTTTAAAAAATAGAGGAAACTTTCATTGACTCGGCGGATATTGTTTATAGCTACGAGTATACATCTCGAATACTTCAACACTTTTTGATGAGAGTCTTGTCACTCACGGGCTTCGCTCTCTCCTTTAGATCAGCTCAAACCCTTCACTTACCCCACAAGAACCTCGATTAGCTGAATAGCCACACACTTATGCATATGTATGGCCTCTTCCTCGTTCTACTGCCCACACACTGGCTCTATTTACTTGGCTACTCCTCCTCTTAGGAGCTGCTTGAGTGGCTGTTAATATGCATTACCACCAGATTTTTATCACAGTTATGGCATCTGCTGAGCCCGCTCTATTGCATACATTAGCATATTTCTGTATAATTTACTGCGCATTCTCCGAACCCGCTCCTGTTTCGGAAATTTCGAATGACAATCACACAACATCGAGATTGGCAAGCCTGCTTTGCTGCCTAATTAGCCGAATCATTTCTTGTTAATTTTTTGTTTGTTTTTCTTTACTCTTGCACAGTTTTAATTGCGACTTTCTTCGGTGTGGCCGCACTTACGAAAATATGCCACTAGTCATAAAAACTGCAGATAATTGATTTGTCGTAGAAATTTAACGTAAAACATCATAAATGGTTGTACAGATGTGCAATTCATTGGACATAAAACCAGTGATCACTTCAACCGGCTGTCGATTAGGATATGCTGGAATATGGCATGTTAACTGGCCGGTTTAGTAGCCACCACCACCAGTCGCTCCAAGACCGACTACTATGTTTATATACCGCTAAAAAGTAAACAAATTTCTAATTGCAAGTCTTAAAATCAAAGTTTTGCATTTTTGTGCCATTTTTGGGTGTGCAAAGCAAGCATAAAAAAGAGATATCAACAAATAGTTTAACGCCTCGTTTAAGATGCATGGCAGCGGAATAATATTTTGCCATAGTGAGTGAAAACGTTCTCAGGAAAAAAATAAAAAGCATACGTCGTCATGCGGCTACATTCGCATAATTTATAAACAACGTATTTAATAGTTCTTTTACCACTATTTTACCTATACTGACCTACTCCACCCATAGGGTAGGGGATATTTAAATGTGAGAAATGTGATAGGATATCCAAAATAAAACATGAACACTCTTTCTTTCATAGGTATACTTGTACATAAGTATACATAGTTTATGCTAAATGGTCATGAATGCATATAGACATAACAAAGGGTATTTAATTTTGGCGCGAGAGAGAACATTTTTTAGCTCCCCTTCAAGACAGTAATTTAAGACAATATTCCAAAAATATTGTTAGTAAAATTAGCCTATTCATACTTCAATATGGTGGCTATAATTAAACACGATCAATAGGACTAAAAATGTAATTTAAGTGCTTCTTTTATATGAAAATGGGGTCAGTATTGTATGTACTATTTCGCAGAAACTACAATGTTCTTTACCCAAAATCTATTCTCAGTCCACTCAATGAAAACCGTTTGAATTCAAGTAATATTTCCAACAATGCCTAGTAAAAATAATTTTACTAGATATTTAATCTCTTAGAGCAGCTCTTAGAAATGGCGAATTTGCCAACTTTTCTGAAACTATTTAGGCCATCAGTATAGTCACAGTTTTTCATTTATGCAGGTTTCAGCTGTTTGTTGTTTGGGTATCTGATGATGTTCTTTGGTGTTATTTTCTAACACCAATGCTAATTAGTCAATCAACAATAAGGAGGGCGGGAGCACGCAGGTAAATCATGTTAAATTGAAATGTTGGCATGCTTATAACGACAAAGACTATATGCACATGCATAAATGTATGACTAAACCTTTCACTCAATGGAACCAAATGCCGTTAAGTGCTTATCAAATAGAGCTCCACATGTTAAGAGAATGGACGTCATAGCCAAAGTTCAATAAACTCGCACAACAAAAGGTGTTGAAATTCAATGTTTTTCCATAACAAAGGCGAGCTCGCCAGCAAATTTGCCAAACTATGTGAAACATCTTGGTCACAATCACACTGTTAAGGTCGACTAATACTTCGAGCCACTACGCTAGCCAGAGAGGCAATACATACGTACGTCCGAAAACTGGCAAGACAAGTTGGCCGCGTGCATGTCAACCCTGAACTTGACCGGTCCAAATATGAGACTCGGCCGTCTGCCTTTTCTACTACAATACCAGTCGATGTAACAGTTAACAAACATTTTGCACATAATTGGCAAGTTGTCGGCGCTGTCGAGATCGGCTTCGGGCTTGGATTCGCCGGTACAACGGCGCTTCGAGCTGGCTGCTGCCTAGCTCGGGTGTTGGCATTGACAGATTGCGCTGCTAGCTGGCTGCAGATACATATACGAGTATATGCAGCTATGGCTGTTGGCCAGCTGGCTTGGCTACCAGGTTGTTCGAGCAATTAATAGACACATTTAGCTTGTGACGGTTTTAAGTGTTTAAGTCCGTAACGGTACGCGTCATTGCGCAAACATCGCATTGCAGTCACTTGAGAAGAAGAGTGGCTTCATCCAGTTCGGCAAGTGTCACACTAACACAAAATTCTGTTCTCTCGCCTTGCAGACTCCTCCGCTATTGTTGACTGTAAATTGAAACTGATACTCGGCCTCATATGGACGCTCATTCTGCACTACTCGATATCGATGCCCATGTGGGACGGCGAGGATGAGAAGCAGCTGAATGGGTCGGGTCCAACGCCCAAGCAACGGTAAGTGAGTAACATTTTATCAATTCGCATATTCTGACTGGAGAATTTGCAGTCTGCTGAATTGGATACACGCCAAGATACCTGATATGCCAATCAATAACTTCACCAATGACTGGACCACAGGCAAAGCGGTGGGCGCTCTGGTTGACGCCTGCGCGCCTGGACTTTGTCCCGACTGGGAGCTCTGGGATCCTAAGGATGCCGTACAGAACGCTTCCGAGGCCATGGGCTTGGCCGATGACTGGCTTAATGTTCGCCAATTGATCAAGCCAGAAGAACTGGTCAATCCAAACGTGGATGAGCAGTCCATGATGACCTATTTGTCGCAGTATCCCAATTCAAAGCTTAAGACCGGAGCACCCTTGCGTCCCAAGACGAATCCAAACAGGTGAGTGGTAGGAGTAATACATGGGTGAGCGATATACGACCCAAGAATACGCACTGAAGAACTGTTTTCTCTTTCCGAAATACGAGTATATAAATCAATTTTATAAATCTTTGCGCAATGTTTCCTCTTTCTCGTATTATAATCAATTGTTCTAACAAAGGTGGTCTAATCTAAGTCATTTTCAAATAAGCACGTAAACGGAAGTTGTCCATTTGAACTTTGAACTTTTGTACAACTCTTGTCTCTCTATTTTTCCGTCCTTTGCTAACAGCTAACTTTTTTAATGCTATGCATTTCTGTACTCAATTGTTCAATCCTGATAACCTATTTTCAAGACGTTGATCTCTAATCCAGTTTCTTTCTCTCTCTCTTTCTATTCTCTCTACATTTATTGAATACTTATGTGTATATTGGTCTACCTTTTAATTTATTGGATATTGTATTTGTTTTCCCCCGCTCACATATGTACATATGTATATATACCAACATATATACGTGTACATATATAAAATGTCTAAAATGCAAAACTCAGCATTCCTCCGCCGCGGTAAGTTCGGCATGCTCTTTGTTGCTCTTTTTTGCTGATTTTCTTGCTGCCATTTCTTTTGGATTACGTTTGTTAGATGTTTTCGCTTTGGCTATTTTATGGCAGTTTGTGCCTGCGTGCGCTTTTGATGATTTAACCGGCATGGGCCTGGCCCTGCCGGCGTATCAAATTGAAACTTCAACGTGAACTTGGCTGGCGGCTGGTTAGCGAAGTTTCTGGCTATTTGTCTGGCTGACTGCTGCTTTGTTTTATTATTGTTTTTGTACATAACATTTTCAATTGCACCCAGCGCTTCATTGGCGCTTGTACAGACAAGGTCTGTGGTAGTGCAAATTTTAAAATAAAAATTTTGTTAAACCGCTGTATCTTATAAGAATTGCGTAGCATACTTTTATGTGCCATTAAATAATCGATCGCATGTGTGCATACACGCATTGCTGCATACTTTAAGGATTGTATACAAATTCGTTAGATAACCAACGTAGGATACTCAAATAAACTAAGCTCTCCTAAACATAACTTTTGAACCCCCTCAACTACAGAGTGCGTGCATATGGTCCAGGTATTGAACCAATCGGTCCGGTGGTCGGTGCTCCCGCTAATTTCACGGTGGAAACGTTCTCAGCTGGCAAAGGTGAGTAGTTTGATCGTAATGAGAACATTTTTGACTTATAGGGCTTGCCTTACAGGTGTCGTCGATGTGGACATTGAATGTCCAAACGGGGAGATCGAAAAAGCCGATGTGCGCTTCAATAATGACAAGAATCTTACGTACACAGTGTCCTACATACCAAAGGCTGAGGGTCCACACAAGGTGGCTGTCAAGTATTCAGGTCGTGACATACCGAAGTCCCCGTTTCCAGTCAAGGTGGAGGGTCATGCAGGTGATGCGTCGAAGGTAAAAGTCACTGGTCCCGGCATACAACCCTCCGGTGTGACGATCAAAAAGCCTACATTCTTCGACATACTAACAAAGGATGCTGGTCGCGGAGTGCCAGAAGTTATTATCATTGATCCGGCCAATCACAAGACCTCTGTGGCGGCCAAGGTGCGCCAGTTGGAGAACGATACTTGGCGCTGCGAATATGTCACTGCCATGCAAGGTCTGCACTCGGTCAATGTTTTCTACGCAGGTACGCCCATTCCAAACAGTCCGTTTCCCGTAAAAGTCGCTCCGCTCTCTGATGCCCGGAAAGTAAGAGCATCCGGACGCGGTCTGCAAGCGACAGGCGTGCGAGTGGGCGATGATGCTGATTTTAAGGTCCATACAGAGGGTGCCGGCGAGGGTGTACCCGAAGTGCGCGTTATTGGTCCAGGTGGTATGAATCAAAATGTTATGATGACCAAAGTGGATGGCACTACATACGAATGCCATTACTACCCCACCAAAGAGGGCCGTTATGTGGTAATGGTAACATTTAGTGGACAGGAAGTACCTAAATCGCCATTCGAGGTAAAAGTGGGGCCCAAGAAGGAATCCTCCATTGTAGCCTATGGTCCTGGTCTGCATAGCGGTGTTATTGGTTACCCAGCTGCCTTTGTGGTCGAGACAAATGGCGAAACTGGCGCACTCGGATTTACCGTAGCCGGTCCCTCACAGGCTGAGATCGAGTGCATTGACAACCATGATGGCTCCGCATTGGTCAAGTATCATCCAACTGCTGTGGGCGAATACGCTGTTCACATTTTGTGTGATAACGAAGACATACCAAAATCTCCGTTTATTGCCCAAATACTGCCCCGCACCGATTTCCATCCGGAACTGGTCAAGGCCAGTGGCCCGGGTTTGGAAAAGAATGGCGTAACAATTAACCAACCCACCAGCTTTGATGTGGACGTCAGCAAAGCAGGTAATGCTCCATTGGATATAGTCGTACAGGATGTCTATGGCAATAAATTGCCTGTGGAAGTCAAGAACAATCCAGATGGCACTAAAAAATGCACCTATACCCCTAACTCAGGTGTGCCACATACCGTAGAAGGTAGGATATGCTCAACCCCTAACCATATAAATGGATTATTATTAACCTTAATTTCTTACATAATATAGTCAATTATGGTGGAGTATCTACACCAAACTCACCCCATCGCGTCTACATAGGCGTACCTGTAGATGCCAGCAAAGTTCAGGCTTTCGGGCCATGGCTGCAGCCCGGCGTGCGTCCCAACGTGCCTACGCACTTTAATGTCGACGCTCGAGATGCTGGCGATGCCGAGCTCAAGGTGAAAATTATACACGAAGATACCAAAGTGGAAGTGCCCTGCCGGATTATTGACAACGACGACAGTACGTACTCGGTTGAAGTCATTCCACCCACTAAAGGCGCTTACACAACTACTATGACGTATGGTGGTCAGCGTGTGCCGTTGGGGCAGAAAGTTGTTGTTGAGCAAACGGTGGATGTGTCAAAAATTAAGGTTGATGGACTTGAACCCAGTAAGTATACTATAGTATGTCCTTAATCAAATAACACTTCCAAAATCTGTGTAGCCATAGTCATTGCTCTTGAGATTGTTTGCGTTTAAAGGGTTTCTCATTATAAAAGTTCACGTCATTTCATTCATCCACAAGCCGCGCCCCTTAACAGCCTACAACAGTTTCGTATCATCACCCACGGTCTACCTAAAGCGGATCTGGCCGTTACAATAACTAGTCCGTCGGGAAATCGCGTCAAGGCGCACATAATACCCACCGCAGAGGGGTTCCTGGTCAACTTTACACCAACACAACTCGGCGAATATCTGCTAAGCATATGCTTTGGTGGCACGCCCATTACGCCGCGCCCCTTCCGACTTCAGTGCCTCACGGGCAGCGATTCAAATAAGGTACATGCATTCGGACCAGGTCTAGAGCGTGGTATTGTTGGTCAACCGGCGGAGTTCATGATCGACACGCGTGGCGCCGGCCAGGGCGGTCTAGGCGTCACTGTTGAGGGTCCCTGTGAGGCGGCCATCAATTGTCGCGATAACGGTGACGGCACCTGCAACGTCGCATATCTGCCCACCGAGGCCGGCGACTACAGTGTCAATATCACCTTTAATGATCGACACATCAATGGCTCACCATTCCAACCACTCATCGTGCCCGTGCCAAATCTGAAGAATACTCTCGTCAGTGGTATCGGCATACAGCCGCATGGTAGGCTATGGACGTGTTCGAGTGTTGCCTGCCCGCAAACTGCGCCCGCTGCTGCCGCTCCATGAGCGTATCTAATCCGCCTCTACTACTCCACTGACCACTTAGGCCTAAGCCCTTATGGGAGCTGTACGCTATTAGGCCCAGCTTAACAACGCCAGTGGCCAGTCCTTGAATGTAATAGTTGTTGTTGTTCTTATGTTCGTTTAAACTAATCCATTTGAGACACTAATCGCATCACAAGTTTTAAGTGTTGTCGTTCGAGCTAATAATGGGAACTGCTTCTCTTACTAATACCCTAAATTTTTTCTGCAGGTGTTATTATGAACGCTGCCACTGATTTTATGGTGGACATGAGCAAAGTGGGCAGCAACATAGACTCTGGCAAGCTATCGTGTGCCATTTTCGATCCTAAGGGCCATGTGTTGCCAAGCAAAATCGTGCAGGGCCCCACCGACGACATATTCCGCATTATGTACACACCCTTCGAGGCGGGTCGGCATACCATTGAACTGATGTACGATAACATACCAGTCCCGGGCTCTCCATTTGTTGTGAATGTAAAGGCCGGCTGTGATCCTGCACGCTGTCGAGCCTATGGTCCTGGCTTAGAAAAGGGTCTGACGAATCAGAAGAATAAGTTCACCGTTGAAACCAAGGGGGCCGGTAATGGCGGTCTCTCCCTCGCTATTGAGGGTCCATCAGAGGCGAAAATGACTTGCACCGACAATCGAGATGGGAGCTGTGATGTTGACTACCTTGCCACCGATCCGGGCGAGTACGATATCACCATAAGATTTGCAGATAAACACATCCCAGGCTCTCCGTTCCGCGTACTCGTTGAGGAAACGGTCGACCCAACCAAGGTGAAAGTTTACGGCCCAGGCATAGAGCACGGCCAGGTGCGCGAGAGCGTACCCACCTATTTTAATGTAGATGTCGGCGAGGCTGGTCCCGGTCGCATTGCAGTAAAATTGACCAATTCCGAGGGTATACCCGTGGACAATTTGCGTGTGGAGGAGAAGGGCAATGGTATTTATGCGGTGCACTATGTGCCGCCCAAGGCAGGCTCTGTGCTGACGTGCCAAGTGAAATTTTCCGATGTAGAAGTGCCTTGCAGGTAAGGTTCGCTCATATATTCCTTAAGCTATAAGCTCTAAATCAATACCAATGGTGGGGTGTTCTATTTTTAGTCCCTTCGTGATGACCGTGTTTCCAAAATCGGAGGCCACAAAGGTAAAAGTGAAGGGTGTCAATGAGAAGAAGAAGACGCCTGCTTCACTGCCTGCTGAATTCGAAATTGATACAAAACAAGCAGGAGAAGCTGCTATCAATGTGGACATAAAGAATCCGAAGGGCAAGCCCATGAAGCCACGCTTGGAGGAGGTGGAGAACGGGACATATGTGGTATCCTTTGTGCCTGACGAGTGCGGCACGTATCAGTGCAGCATTAAGTACGGCGACAAAGATATCGAGGGTTCACCCTTCAAACTTGAAGCATTCCCCACTGGCGAAGCCAAGAAATGTAAGTTGGTGGAGCAAGCGCCCAAGATACTGCCCTCTGGCAGCCAGTCTCATCTGAAGGTAGATGCGCGTGAAGCGGGTGATGGCGCCGTAACCTGCAAGATCACCAACAAGTCAGGAAGGTGGGTACCCAGTTTCCCCTCTTGTAGAAATAGAGAAAGTATATTCAGCTATTCAGTTAGGTTAACGTACAAGTAAATTGCCAATTCAAGGGTATTGCTAACCTCACTGCTCATTTGTTCTTCTATTCTGTAGTGAAATCGTCGATATAGATGTGAACGAAAAAGATGGCGTCTTCGACATATTTTACGCATTGAATGATCCGGGCGAATATGACATCAATGTGAAGTTTGGCGGCAAGGACATACCAAATGGTAGCTTCGCCATTAAGGTAGTCTAAATATTATTTAAATATTTTTTGTTACCAAAGCTAAAAGTCTAGTCACAAAATCAGAAAATTGTTGAGAATTAGCAATTATTATTTTTATTCTTACCTACACATACTCGTATACATAAATATAAATACTCGTACTTACGTTAAATGAAACATTAAAGATCAGTTAAGCGAAACGGGTATTGGAGAACCATAGAAAACATTTTACATTATGTTTAAAATCAAATCAAGTCAAGCCCATTGTCATTATGTTTGTGTTTTGTGCGCGTCATTGTTGTCAATTGAAAGAAAATCTCTCCTCCTAGTCCCGTTTAAACAAAAAACACGCAAACAATTACAAGAGCAACCAAACAAAGAATACAGATTTAAGTGCAACATTGTAAAACATGACAAGAAAATAAAATTTATAAAATTGTTCTTACAAATGCAGCGCCAAAGAAACTTTTGTTGCCCCACCAAGACAATAAGAAAGAAAATTAGTTTAATTGCATGCACTATTTTGTTGTCGAAATTGTTTGAAACGACGCTCTGCTATGCTAAATTTAAAATTGCGCTTTTTGCACATTATGCATTTAATGTTTGCATCGTTCAAGTATTTTAATGCTGCTTCTTTGTTACCTTAGTAAGTTGTTTGTGTGTGTATTTGTATTTGATTAAATATTGGCGCACTTAACACAAACCTCAAGACAAGGCACACAAAACGCCAAACGCCAAACACCAAACACCAGTTCGTGCATCAATTCATGAAGCCTAATCACATTGTGTTCAATCATTAATCAATAATAATTGCTAATTTAATAACAATTTAGTTAACAACAATTTAGAGCACATTGTGAATTTTTGCATATATACCTAGCACTTGCTCATAAACTCTTTCCACAGCACCAGCGAAAGGTAAATTCCGAAGAGTCCAAGAGTCTCCACATGCGCGTGCAGTTTAATAAACCGTTAAACGCTGTAAGCCAATGCTGACAGCATGAGAAATTGGATGTCATAAATACAACGCCCTGATCCTCGCCATCACATACCACACACAGCAACAATAATGCGCATTATTTGCACAAGAAACAACAATTTGCCCATGTCTCTGATAAATTTCAAAAATCGCGGGCAACCTGCCCAGATCCAAATAAGTATCTTACAGCTGCCTCTTGAAAAATGACCACATATCATCTGCGGTCCCATCTGAATATTAATTGGGTTCAGTGTACATGTGTGGCTAAATGTTCGATTTATGTTCAACAGATTCGCACAATTAGCTGGCTGTAAAATTGATACTTTTTCACTTTAGATTCTAGTTCCCAACACCAACAGGCCCCGAACTTGAGTGGCCTGTCTTCCCTCTTAACAGTACCCCAAAAGACAACCCGAAGCCACTTTGTCTTTGTGACATGGGCACATTAGTTTATGAAGACAGAAAAGGCATATTTCATGCTGCTGCTAGAACTTGCCGGCCAGAGTATTTTTTTGCCTGCTTTTTCATTTTATTAAGTCAAGGTGCCAGGCAGGACTCAGTCCAAAATATACAAGTAGTTATCAACACATGGCTAAAGTAGTTCTGTAACACATAGGTGTTTTCTTCTTTATTAATATTCAACCCACTATTTTCGGACGACACATCAAATACAGTATAAATATTCTTTACTCATAAATAGATTGAAATACTAGAGTCGAGCCCGAATGAAAAGACGCATAACAGCAACAACAACAGCAGCTACTGACAGAGCATGGGTATAGATTACATGAATTTCCGTCCGTCCAGCTGTATTTTCCACAACTCTAGTAATACAATTTTGTACCTTATTTTATAATTACATGATGTCAAGTGTGATCATGAGGAGTTTACTTTTAAGATAGTTATGGCCAGGAATGTAACCTCTGCCTGGACTTCTGTTGTGGCTGCATTGATTCAACACTGTACTGCACACAAACGCATGGGCATACGCCTGGTTTAAATGTAGGCAATTGAAAGCATTCACTAATTTATAGGTATTTTTAACCTACTGCCCCAGGCAAGTCATATTTTTTTTTGTATCTCCCACTCCCCACTACAGTTCCAAAATACCAAACAATACTTTCCACATGAAATTTCCCACAGCGGAGGAAGGATATTGGGTACAGGATATTTTACAGCTTGGTTTTTATCGACTGTAGCACTTTTTGTAGTTGTTCCATCAATTAAAACAAATTTTTGATAAAATATATTAATTAGAATAGTGGGACTAGATCAGTAGTCATCCAAAGTTTATGTAAAAATCTCGAAATCTTGATATATTTTTTGAATGCAATATTCAACAAATTTAGAAACATACAAAAACACACTTGTATGACCAACATTGGCAGGCAAACTATAGTGTTGTGTTTTAATTATACATACATACATGCATATACAGTATGTACATTTGTAAGTACATATCTTGGCGTTAAAAGCTGTGCCGACAACCCACGCAGCAAGGCCAATAGGCAGCCGACTGCAGTCTGAATCAGCCAGTGTTCCAAATTTGTCGCTGATTTTGTTAGTTGTTGTTGGTGTTGTTGCTGCTACTGCTTGTGTTGTTGTTGTGACCTCTAATCGAAATGCACTTCGGGCGGTTGTTGTGTGAACTGCGAACACAGCCGCGTGCTCAACTCTGTCAACAACATCAAGTATACGCCTCCTTGGCCGCCCGCATATTAAAATTATTTTTGTAGCCAAAAATTCGCAAGTAATTAAAATAAGAAAATTAATTTATACTTGTAGTATACGAAAACAGTCTGTGCGTCGGTGTGTGTGGCATTTGCTTAGATTTTAATAACATATACATATGTACACCTATTATGTACATACATACATCTGTGCCATGTTGGAAGCCATGAAGCTGCCGATGAAATAGAGGAGAAGAAGCAGCGTCGGCGCAGCAGCCAGCGTCACATGAGCAGAACTACTAGAGCTAGTTGGGTTAGCTAGTCGTGCGAAATTGACCAAATTTTAGTCACACATTGTCCTGTTGAGAATCTTGTCGTCATTGTCGCCACCGTGTCCGTCGTCGTTGGTACGTGTCTGTGTGGGCTGGATGTGTAGATGGTGCATTTGTGATTGAATTTCGTGACGTTTGATCCATGTTGTACATATGTAGCAATCATCTGGCCATATGTTTGTATGTTCGTACTGTATGCGGACAAATGTCGCGTCACTTGTGTCAATTCAATTTTGTTTTCCTGGCATTGATTGGTCGACCAGAGCACTCGCGCATTTATTATTAATAGCGCAAATATTTCTAGCCAATATTCCAATATACTCGTATTTATTATGTATGTACGATTACCTACAGATGCGATTTTTATCCGCGAATATTGGCGATTTGGCTGCGGATATTGAAGGAAATATTTTTCGATATTTGTGTTCATAATGAAGTGCTTATGCAATAGGTGCGACCCAAAAAACACGCTCCGCCTCTGGTCGTTGCCATGTCCGAAATACTCAATAACTGCGAACTATAATGGATCATGGATCAATCAATGCCACTTCCCTTCTGTGTGTGTTGTTTCATTGTGTTTCGCCCTTGTGCGCTGTTGCCTTTCGTAGCTTCACACTCTCGGGTCTTGCATATCAATCGATGCGTCAACTTTTTAATAATAAACAGAAGGCGCAGCCGCAATAGTTGCAAAATATTTGTGCACATTTTTGTGCAAGTGCAAAGTATATGGATATGTGTAGCTCTCCTTCCACAACAGTGCTAATAATGAGAACTCATTGGGCTCTATTGATTTACTTTGAAATGTGTATTTTCAATTTTATTTTTATTGATCTCAGGCTGTCGAAAGCATCGAACAATACTCGCATAGCGAATACATCGAGGAACACACAACGAAGGTAGTGCAACAAACATCGCAGGTGAGTTCTGAAAATCCGAACAGAAAACGTGTTTAATACACAAATGTACATCTACAATATATATATACATACAAGTATATTTATACTAAGATGGATTCCCCTAAGTCCTACGCACACTATTAATTTAACACGCCTTGTGTTCAATTAAAATGTTAACCAGCATCATATTTGTATTGAAAAGAATTTCATTTAGAATTTCATATTCTTTTTCTATATAGCCTCTTAATTCAACAACACATTTCAGCTCGTTAGTCCCATTTAAGTAATTAAGCCGATAGTATTCATTTTTCTTTAATTTTTTTAATGTTTTATAAGTATTTACACGTACATTACAGCAGTAATTCTCTCAATTGTGATTTGAATTCTATATTCAAAATGCATATGTGTACACTATCATGAAACTCCCAAGTATTTCTCTTTACATACTAATGTATATGTGTATACAGTGTTTTAGATTTTCGAGCCAATAAGCTAAATAAATAAGTTATTGAAATAAGCGTAAGCACTGCTAGACGGGTCCATTTAATCATATATGTCTGTATTATTTTTAAAATGTAATATTATGCCCTAAACCCTTAACATTTTTGCAGAGCGAAAAACTTGTGAACGGTAAATCCGAATCCAGCTTCCGAAGCGTTGCTTTTGAAAAACTGCCACTACCCACAACAGGCGGAAACGTAACAGGTGCGTAAACAGCTTAAACATATTTCGTAATTCAGATAAATGAAATGAATCAAGAATAATAGAGCTAGCATTGTCACAAAAATTCCCTTATCAACAAGATTGGATTCAAAACTGCAATGGGCTTGACATGGTGATAAATATCAGCGGCAAGTGGCCGGAGTTTGTAGCTAAAAACCATAGATACATTCCACTCAGTAATAATTAACAAATGCAAAGTAAGTTCTGTAAGCCAGTTCTGAAATCATCGCCATAGTCCATTTTATTAAATATCCTGAAGGAATCATAAAGTTTTTGAATTTATATTAATACAACTGGAATTGTTCTGATACAGAATAATGCGCAATTAGTTATTCATTACAATAGACAACAAAAAGAGATACATACAAATATATAAATGTTGGATGTGCATTGCAATGCTTGAAAAACACCTTTACATTTAATTAGATCCCATACTTTTCTCCCCTTATTCTCCCATAATCTGAAGAACAGTTTTCACATATGGTACATCTAAAGAAACCCATGCGATTCTGTCAGTGCGAAGGTATTTCGTCGAGTTGAGTCTTAATTATTAAGAACCTGGGCAACATGCTGCCTGTTTATCTGCAAAATATTTATGAGCCATTTAAAAATGGTCTAATATTGGCATTTAGTACGGTGCATTGGCCAAGATGCTGATGCGACTATTGTGACAATCTGCCGGAATGAAAATAAAATGCCAACACTAGCAACTAGCAGCAACGTTGCCATGAGAATTGTCATAAATTTTCAAATATATTTTGTATTTTTATGTGCGGCATCAAGCAAACAATTTCTAGCGCGCCAACTTAGACGCGACACCATGGACAAGTGGCAGCAGCAACGCACCCAGGACGAGCGGACACAGACATAGACACCAGCCCGGACAGTCAGACAGCCTTATCATGCTAATCGGACTGCCACTCATCGCAGTTGCCAGCGCGTTGACAGGCCGACAGTCTTGGCAGCGAACAACTTAATTAGATGCTCCGACAATGGCCACAGACATGCATCTGCACTCAGGCATATTTGGTGGGGGGGGGGGCTGGGTTTTCATTTTGGCATTGTCAATGAAATGGCAAATTGTACTCACGAAATTTTCATTTTTCACGCCACTTTCCTTTTGTTCGCAGTTCATTGACTGGGCGGTGCGATGTCAGTTGGGACACGTGTAGAGAAAGTAATTTGGTTATTAACATCCATTCCTCTTAATGGCTTGAAATGTATTCCACCTTGTCAAAATGTTTGCTGTTGCTGGCGAATTCGAAAATTTGCACCGAGATTTATGGACATTTTGACTACTTGAGCACAAATGCAGGCAAACACATGCGAATGTACAATATTCTTTAATGTATATACATACATATGTATGTCTGTAGTAGATCAGAGAAGTATATACACACATACTATAGTGCATATATGTATAGTATATCTAGATAGATGCTGGCCGCATGCAATTGGTGTTTTCATTTTACAAATCAATAAATAAGTTTGCGCTATTTCGCTTTTCAAAGCAACAGACACCCTGCGAAGCCGTTGCCTGCATATTTGTTCGATTTTTCACGCTTCCATGCAATTTTCGAACATTTTCGTCGCACATTTTGGATGCATGGGCCGCGAGGTCGGGTCTGTTGGTCGGACTCTGCGGGCAGCTCTTCATTAAGATCACAACGCACCACAAATGTTTGCCACGTTTCATTTGGGTAGCAGAAATCAGTTCTCCCACTTGCCCTGTCTTTCCCATTGATCTTGGTTGGTAAATTCTAGTCAGAGGTCTCTAACAAAATCCTTATATATCGCTCGGACGGTAGTACTGCGCTCTATTTCGTTTGAAGACGGATCATTGTAAATGATTCGTTTTGGCCAAATGGTATTTTGTGCCGCGCATTTGTTGCATTGATTTTTCATTGCTGGTCAAAGAGAAGTGACAATTTATAGATTCGAAAACACCACAAGCGAAACCCGCCCAGAAAACTGTGGTAGCATGTGAGCTCACCTCATTTGTATGCATTCTTATACCCTGTACCCAAAGGCTAAAAGGGCGTACTAGTTTAGTGGACATTGATGTAATACCCAGGAGTCATGCCAGTCCCATCAAAGTATACATACTTGTATTAGTGATTAGTATGACGTGAAAAATCAATATAGCCATGCCAGAAAATTAAGAGCTACAAATGTTCTCGTTACCCCTAAGATGGACAATGTTTTTCTATTTATCGATAAAAAATCATACTTTAATTTAGTTTTCATTGTGGAAGACGGTACAGAGTGAGATACTGTTATAGCATTCAATTTTATACCTCTGTTTTTTACATCTATGTTGACTCTATGACGAAACTTAAATCCGGTTAAGGGCCAAAAGCCAATATGTGCATTGGAAAATGGTCGTAGCATACTTTCTGTACTGCGTATATTGAAATCACAATGGACAGTAATACTTCAATAATTGGTTTGCATGCAAGGAACAGTAAACCAATGACTCCATACATAAAGCTTATATAATATGGACTTGGCTATTTAACAACGGCATACTAGTTCATGAATCCAGTAGAACTTTGGGAAATGTTGCAGAAGCAGTCCAAAAATTCCAGCAAACTCGCAGGTTTTTATAAAAGCAGGCAGTCCAAACATGTAGGTTACATTAGTGATAAGAACATAAGTATATACTTGGTTGTTCAGTACAGAGCATAAAAATCGGATATGTAATATGTTTCTGAGATCGTGTCATATTTTAAATGCATTTTTATTTGCCAATACGAACGAACTGAAAATCATACATATTTCTATATGAACAAGTAGTGTGTCCGGGGCGGGTGGTATGATTTCATTTGATTGATTTGCGCCAATTGCTTACAGTAAAGGCGCATATATTGGGAACGCAGCTGAGAAACGAAATTAGATTACATTTGTCATTTTGCACATCCGCAGCCCAGCATTAGTGGCCGACTGAGAAAGCTCTTGCATAATGCAACGCGTGATGAACTCAATACTTGTATGTGAAGTCTACGTTTTACGATATAGTTGGGAAATCGATTAAATTCTCATAACGCGACAACTGCCAGCAAGAGCGTGTTTTACGCATTGTGGACATTCCACAATCTTATAATACTTGTATTTTTATTGCAAAATTTGTCGAATTCTTGAGCGTCCACACTGGTATGGGGTCGGGTCTTTAAAAGCAACATGTCTATGTGTGCATTTTATTTATAAATTAATTTTGCGCCTGTTCGTTCGCTCTAATGGTGAGCATATTAATACATTTTTTGTCGTCTTTTCTGCAACAAGTAATAAATTTGATTTTTCCTCCCTACAAGAACGTATACTCGTAGGTATGTATTTTTCGAAAGGTGTGTGTTTGTGTGTATTACGCTGAAGACACACACCTGAGGCAATTATTAAAATTTTGCACCTTTCGAGCTCGAAATTCGACATTCCAACTGTTAAGTTGTCCAAGAGCTGTTCATAAACATGTTAGTTGCTATAAAATAGAATCAAATATGTGATTCTTTATATAGGCAAATGCAATACACACTCAGCACTCGAACACACACACACACACACGGACACATGTCATAAAGAAATGAATAATAAGAACGAGGCGTCGAAGAGCCGAATGATCATCACATCAGTCGCAGCGCAAATATTTCCAATTTGTTTTTTTTTTATCATTTTCATTTCTTTATTGGATTCTGCTGCCTACTTTATAGCACAGCACAGTCTGCCACACACACACTCATACACGCACACAAAGGCCAGCATACCAGCGGCCATATTTTCGAAAATCGGCTCTCTGTACGGGTGTATGGCCGATCTATGCTGCCACTGCTGGCATAGCAGACAAAGTTTTTGGTAGGAACTGGCGTGCTTTCATATTTTGGCCTTAATTTCAATTTGAAACTGTCTATGTTCACTTGAAATCGGGACGTGGAAACGCGTAGACCTACAAAACGTCGCTGGCAATTAAAAACGTTGGAATAAATGACACGAGAAATGCAGATTAATTGAGCAAATAATTCGACTGCAGGCCAAACAATTCACTTATTAATTTGCGCAGAAGGACTTCTTCTTGTAGGACACTCACTGCCTATAACTAAATCGTAGATAAACGCCTATTACAAATATATTGTTGCATTACAAATATATTGTTATATAACGCGTGTGCTTTAACTTGTACGTGTGAGTGTCATGATCTTCAACTTTGATTGAGCTCTTTCTAAAAATTCCAAATAATAAAAAATCAATGCAAAGCAGGATATGCGGCACTACTGAACTCAGTATAAGTACCAACACGCCTATTCCTTTTTTTATTTTCAAGGGGCTATTGGAAAAACCTGCCCTTGAAGTAGTCCTAAAACCGTGATGATACATTCATCAAAAATTAATACGCAACAGATTGTAGGCAACTACCTATAACGATCTAAAACTCTTTTAATTGAAAGGCACGGCTATAGGGCATCGCTGTATCTTAATTTTTGATTGATGTGTCATGGTTGTTTAAGTTAATTGATCGATAAATGAGATGAATGATGATTAAATATTTAGTCGCATATCCTTGCTGCTGCATTAATTATTACGTTTTAAAAATTAAATTATTCTAAATTTTAAGTGTCTCTATTTCAAAATTTTAAAACGCGTACGCGAAATTCCATTATCTTAAAAACGAAAATATATTTTAAAAATATACCTATTGCTGTACGAACGAACCAATATTCAAAATGCACTTCAGTTGGTTAAGTGAGAAACCGCCCACGCCGGAAGCAACCTGGGCAGATCATTCATATTATTTCCGACCGCAGTATTATAAGGTGACGGTCTCGGAACGCGATCACGCCGAGCGCCCAAACGTTTACTTCAATGAGGCCATCATACCAGAGAATCAAGGACTAAATGGTTGTGACTTTATGCCATTGAACTTCCAATCATCGTTTTTTATTGTTACACATCAAGGTAAATGCTTCACACACAGAACAGAAACCCCAACTCCAGCTTCCCAAAATTCTTGAAAACGTCAATATGTCGCACCAGAAGACCTTTCCGTTCCACAATTTGAAACACTGCCAGCTGCAAGTGTTTGCGACTGTGAGATGACGTGCACGGCGTTCAGAAAACGCGAGTTGCTGACAAGCTGACCAAAAAGAAGAGAATGTTTCAGTGTTCCATTTGTCTTAATGACAAAAGTGACACCAAATTCCCAGAGGCTGGCGAAATGTTGGTCCACCGCTGATTCAAGTCGGCGCTTGTTCGCCACAATCCGTGCAATGCGTTTTTGAATTATGACTGCAGAATATTTATCTCGGTCCTTCTGCCACTGTCTGACGTTGCAATTTCAAATTATTTTCTGTGATTTATTGTCAGAACTTGCAACAAAGCGTAAAATTCGTTTTGCGCTTGCATGTGATTATTTTTTGGGTGCCTTGGGCATGTGATGCGGGGCGTGATGATGGCTCTTATAGTATTCATTCAAACTATCACATACTAACAATAATCATCTCTATTTATTGGCATTAAATAGTTTACAGATCTGTGCAAACAAACCTATTAAGTATTAAATAATTACGGGGAACTGTATTAACAACAAACTTGAAAGAGGTGATCAGTGTAAAACATTCGGGGAATATTATGTATATAATATTGTTTATGTCCTATCTTAGAGTGCCTGTCTTGTCTAAGCCTGTCTGAAACTGATACGAGCATTAAGTAGTTTAAGCTTGAAACTTGCCTCCAAATTTTGACAAACTTGACATTCTATGGATGGGTATATAAAAAATTAATGTTTTGTGGCATAACTTTAGGGAAATTTAATAAAAACAACATTCTAAAATAGCGCTGAACTTAGAAACAACGTTTCTTAGAAAAATTGCACTTGTTAAGAACCTTTTATAAATTGTTTGTTGTTGTTTATTTCCTTGTTCTTAGTGAACTCTTTAATGCTTAGGGCGATTTGGTGTATTTTATTGTGAGTGGTCAATTATTTTACTTAATTCATATCGATCTGTCTGCTATGATTAATTTTAATACCCTAGTACTTTATACTTTTTAGTTTAGTGCGAATATACATACGTACATATGTAACGTATAGAAGTGTACGCGGTGGGCCCCACAAGGTATAAATATTCTTGATCTGTATGACAAGACGATCGATATAGCCCTGTCCGTCTAACTGTCTGTATGATCCTTGATCTCTGAAAATATAAAAGCTAGAATATCCAAACGTGGTATACAAATTCCTAAAATTCCAAAAAAGGACAAGATTATGTTATTTCCATAACTCTCGTAATTCTTGGAGTTTAAACTCAAACCCGGCATTACATTCTATTAGTAATTACGTGCTTGTCAAGTTTTATCATGATAGGTCGAATCTATAAGTAGTTATAGCCATACTTTAATGTCTACCCAAGTTTTGTGAGCAGTTGCTGCTTTGGCTAAACTCGCACAGCCTAGCATTCCATTCTTGTTTAAAATTGTTTTAAATATTTTGTTGTTTATATATTTTTTATTATCGTGACTGCACATAAGAAGTCTACCCTGATATTATATGTTTTATCAACGTATTTAAAGAAGTCTCCATTTTAAAAGAGAACTGCATTTTGTTGGCCAGTGTTATAAGCAAATGGAATTTGATGAAAAATCGCATTTTCGCATAGCGGCTATAACGGCTCGAGAGTCATTAAATCTTTCATTCGTGATGCCAGCGTCCATTAGATTCCGAACATGCCATCGGCGAGGCAGTTTTCCATGCCTCAATGGCCAATGGGCAATGGCGCGCCATGGCGGTCAGGTGGCGGTGGAGCAAGCCGTCGATCCTCTGTAGAGACCCAACGACGGACGGCAACAAATGTTCGGGCATAAATAATAATAATTATCCGAAGGCGAGTTGTGCAGCTATACAAATGGATGTAGTTGTCTTGTTGTCTTGGCGGCCGCTTTTTACGTTTAATTTGTAGCGGATGTTTGCAAATAAAAATTGGTTGCTGTTGTTGGTTTGAGGCATTTTTTATTCGGTCTCTTTCTTTCTATCGAATGCACGCACTTGGCGGAATATTTTATCGTTAATTTGCACAGTTCTTTCAAAAGCGTTTCAGAGCGTATGAATTTTACATGTCATTGGCTTTATGAAAAGGAACAGCTGAATGGATGCGGTGGCGTTGGCCAATTTTGAAATGCTCGTTCTTTTCTATTAACCCATTTCTCATGTGGCTTTTATCTTTGCAGCATTTGTGTGATTTGTTGCTGCACACACACTGCATCTTCTCATCTACATAGCCTTTGATAAATCTTTACAAATGCCTTTTTAATTGTTGCCTTTATATTGTGCGTGCTTCGTGCTCCCCAAGCATTCAAATATCCGCCAGGCGGCCAATAGGCTGCCCATAAATTTGGCAAATTTATCAAAAGCGCTGACTTGGCATGTCTGCCATATTCTCTTGCCTTCTGGCCTGACGCATTCATTTTGGGCAAATCAAATTGGTTGTTGTTTCTCAGACACCGTTTGCCTTGAAAACTGTCTAAGCGTTCTGCTGACGCGCGACACGCTTCTCTGATTTATGTTTGTTTACCGCTTTTGTTTGGCCATAATATCTCATGATGTTATCCGCTGGCGATTCCATTAATTGTGGTCACTTTTCGCAGGCTCGTCCACCCAAATCAGATTCGGATAAGGTAGCTGCCCAATTATTTTAAGAATCGAATAGAATATTTATAAGTATTTTATTAATATTTGTGATAATAATATGTCTAAAGACTGGCAACATATGGCCTATCTGTTCATAGCTAAGTAGCCACTAGTTTGCTGTGACTCATTTATTTATAGACCTACACAGAAATGATGTACGAGAAAATAAATAATGAACTTTATCGCACTAACATTTTATGTGACACTGGCGCAAAATATTTGAGGCAATATATTTGGATCGGTTTGCTACCAGAAATTTATCTTTGAATATTTTGTCGTTCTGTTTGATAGAGGAGGGATTGAAACGTATATTCTAAGAAATATTCATTTAATTGATGACACTTCTGCATTGGTCTGAAAGAAATTAATTCTACGCCATATTGGAGAATATACAAGTATAAATTTTAGTGAAACAAGAAAGTCGAATATGAAGCCTCGAGAAGGGTCGCTGCACATCCCAAGGATTGCATATCCTGAAGGCTTAAATCCACTCAAATGAATTTTGATTAACACTATGTAATCGAATATAAATACTTGTTTATGTGTAGAAATGAATACATTGTATAGCACTCTTTAAAATAGTTGTGTATGACTCCATAAATGGAAAAACTGAAACTTCCAATGACTGTCCTCTTCAGAAACAATCGTTTAGTGCGCCTCAGTTGTTACAATTGGAACCCCTAAAATCGTTAGTTATATTTGAAATAATCTCATTTTTACCGGCAACACTTGCGAGCTACTTTTCTACAGCTATATAGTATGTGCTCCGATGTGTGTTCGTGCCTCTAGACGCTAATGGTTTCTGATGCGCTCCTTCTTTTTACGCTGACAGAAGAATATTTATGTTTATTTTCATTAAAGTTTATTTATAGTTGCATATACTCAATAATTATGGTTCCCGAACATAAAATTATCCAATTTGAATTTAAATTTAGACACGTGCTCGAGCTCGCACACTCAACTACACTCCAGCATCTGTTAGATACTTTACGATGCACTATATATATATATATAAGTAGATACATATAGTAAGGTCGGTGACACACATATGCCTGCAGAAGTCGTGATACATATAGTTGTTCTTATATACTTGAGTGACTAGAAAACATAAACAGTGTGTCCTATATTTGACCTTAAAGACATTCGGGAACGATGTTTTTGTGTTTTTATGTTTTTGTTATTTTTTTGTCAGCGACTCATGAAAGTATAAAAGCAATTGTAGGCGTTGTTGGAAATTTCTTCAGAAAATCGAAATGCCACTATCGAGTCAGTTGGTGAAAAACTTTCGTTGTGTTTAGAAGTGGACTTGTGAATAGTGCGCAAGGATTACCAAAAGGACTTTAATAACCTACGCATATATTAGTGCATACGAGAGTAGTGAAGGCGTGTCCGCAAAAACTGTATGTGGAAACATGAATCTTTTTTAAATATGCGAGATGAAAATATTTTTGTTTTGAAATAGATTCTATACAAAATTCTTTTATGTTTGTGAGATATAATTCTATCAAAGTGGGTGTGTTATATTTATCTGGCACGCAGAATTCCTACGTGATCTGAAGCACATTCGAACACAAGCGGATTTACGAGTACTCAGGGAACTATTATCCTTCTCATTAACCCGTACATGAAAAAGTGTATTCGACAATAGAAACTTCTAGAGTGGAAGAGAATCTGTTCCCATTAACTAATTGTGCATACAGTATATAGATGAAAATATGTACATATATTTGTATTAAAATAGATTGAAAATGGCACAAATATTTCAACATAATATCAAAATTATGATGTCTTTGAAAACGAAAAGTTAATAATAATAGAAATGAACATAACAAATGGTTGACTTTATTGTGGCTACCCACGCGCTGAGCAGGAACTGAGCTAATATTTATGTGAAATATGTATTTGTGACATAATTTCAAATGTGCAAAGAAAGCATTATTGGATAGTTGAGCTCTAGTAATTATTTTAGGGTTATGTTTAGTGAACAGACTGTACCAATCTGTATCTAATTTTTAAAACTATTTTCCCAAACCATCCACTTACAGCTGAAGTCAAGATGCCGAGTGGTAAGGTCGACAAACCCATTATTCAGGACAACCGTGATGGTACCGTCTCTGTGAAGTACGATCCGCGCGAGGAGGGCTCACACGAACTGGTTGTGAAATACAATGGCGAACCTGTGCAAGGTAAAAGGACGTTACATATGCTAATTTGAGATCTTCTACAAAAATTATTCACCCATGGTGTTTCAGGATCTCCCTTTAAATTCCACGTGGATTCAATTGCATCCGGATATGTGACCGCCTATGGTCCAGGCTTAACGCATGGTGTCACTGGCGAGCCCGCCAACTTTACCATCTCTACCAAGGGTGCGAATACTGGTGGCCTAACCATGGCCGTAGAAGGCCCCAGCAAGGCTGATGTAAGTAGTAGCATTTCGCCTGGTCACCATAACATACTAACATCATTCAATCGGGCAGATTAACTACCACAACAACAAAGATGGCACTGTATCAGTGCAATATCTGCCCACCGCCCCTGGTGAATACCAAGTCTCGGTTCGTTTCGGCGACAAGCACATCAAGGGATCGCCGTACGTTGCTAAGATCACCGGCGAGGGTCGCAAACGCAACCAAATCTCCGTCGGCTCCTGTTCTGAAGTCACCATGCCTGGGGACATTACCGATGAGGATTTGCGTGCCCTCAACGCCTCCATTCAAGCGCCCAGCGGCCTAGAGGAGCCTTGCTTCTTGAAGCGCATGCCCACCGGCAACATCGGCATTTCCTTCACTCCTCGTGAAATCGGCGAGCATATGGTTTCGGTGAAACGCCTGGGAAAGCACATTAATAACTCGCCCTTCAAGGTCACCGTGTGTGAGCGCGAGGTTGGAGATGCTAAGAAGGTCAAGGTATCGGGTGCTGGGCTCAAGGAGGGTCAGACACACAGCGACAATGTTTTCTCTGTGGATACGCGCAATGCTGGTTTTGGAGGTCTTTCCGTATCTATTGAAGGTCCCAGCAAGGCAGAGATACAGTGCACCGACAAGGATGATGGCACATTAAACATATCCTACAAGCCCACCGAACCGGGATATTACATTGTTAACCTGAAGTTTGCCGATCATCATGTGGATGGCTCGCCCTTCACCGTCAAGGTAGCCGGCGAGGGCAGCAACCGAAAGCGCGAAAAGATCCAACGTGAGCGTGACGCCGTGCCGATCACCGAGATTGGCAGTCAGTGCAAACTCACCTTCAAGATGCCTGGCATCACTTCATTCGATTTGGCCGCATGTGTCACCTCACCCAGTAACGTCACCGAAGATGCTGAGATCCAAGAAGTGGAGGACGGACTATATTCAGTGCACTTCGTGCCCAAGGAGCTGGGCGTTCACACGGTCTCGGTGCGATATTCCGAGATGCACATACCAGGCTCACCCTTCCAGTTTACCGTTGGTCCACTGCGTGACTCAGGCAGCCATTTGGTTAAGGCCGGCGGCTCAGGTCTGGAACGCGGAGTAGTCGGAGAGGCGGCCGAGTTCAATGTCTGGACACGCGAAGCAGGCGGTGGCTCTTTGGCCATTTCGGTTGAAGGTCCAAGCAAGGCAGACATCGAGTTTAAGGATCGCAAAGACGGAAGCTGCGATGTCGCTTATAAGGTTACTGAACCGGGCGAGTATCGTGTGGGTCTGAAGTTCAACGATCGCCATATACCCGACTCGCCCTTCAAGGTGTACGTCTCGCCCGATGCTGGCGATGCACACAAGTTGGAAGTGCAGCAGTTCCCGCAGGGCAATATTCAAGCTGATGCGCCCTATCAGTTCATGGTGCGAAAGAACGGCGCTAAGGGCGAGCTGGATGCTAAGATTGTTGCGCCTTCGGGCACCGATGACGATTGCTTCATCCAAGTCATCGACAGCGAGATGTACTCTGTGCGTTTCTATCCACGCGAGAACGGTATCCATGCCATCCACGTCAAGTTCAATGGTGTGCACATACCAGACTCACCCTTCAGAATCAAAGTGGGCAAGGATGTGGCTGATCCTGCGGCCGTCCATGCCACTGGCAATGGCCTCGACGAGGTCAAGACTGGACACAAGGCGGACTTCATCATCAATACATGCAATGCCGGCGTTGGCACACTGGCCGTTTCCATCGACGGCCCCTCTAAAGTAGCCATGGATTGCACGGAAGTCGAGGAAGGCTACAAGGTTCGCTACACCCCCCTGCTCCCAGGAGAACACTACATCACGGTGAAGTACAACAACATGCACATTGTAGGCTCGCCCTTCCGAGTGCATGCCTCAGGTTAGTGTAGCCAAATTGCGCATTCAGCAGAAACTATTAGAAAAAACTTGGTATGGCTGTACTTGGTATTATAAATCCCTTTAACTCTATGGGCTAAGCATCCAGTGAACGAAAGCTTAGATCGCTATTATCTGTGCTAGAAACTCGACTATAGAGTTTCACCTTTGGAACTATCCGTTTGAGCTTACAAAAAATTAATAGGTCTTCTTACTTTATCTGTGGTTCGGGGATTGACTCACCCCAGATCTCTCAATGCCATAAGAGGGTAAAAATCCAAACCGGATGAATATTTCAAGTAATAATATACACAATTTAAAAGTTTCCAAGTTCACATTTTTGCCAACGTAAGTTTGTGTTCACTTTTGGATTAATCTCTGCCATTTTGTTGCCACAGGTGAATCACTGGCCGACGAGGGTGCACAGGAGACATCGACTGTCATTGTGGAAACGGTACAGAAGGTGGCTAAAGGGGGCAAGAATACTGGAGTCCATCTGCCCACTTTCAAATCCGATGCCAGCAAAGTCGTCTCCAAGGGAATGGGCCTGAAGAAGGCATATATGGGCAAGCAAAATCAGTTCTCCATCTCCGCCACCGAAGCAGGTAACTGAAATCGAAGTCATTTAACTTGTGGCTCTTCAACTAATATTTACCCTTACAGGCAACAACATACTTTATGTGGGCATGTACGGACCTAAGGGACCCTGCGAAGAGTTCCATGTAAAGCACGCTGGCCACAACAATTACAACGTACAGTACTTGGTCCGCGACCGCGGCCAGTATGTGCTCATAATTAAATGGGGCGAGGATCATATACCCGGCTCCCCATTCCAGATCGATGTCTAAGCTTAATTATTTTGTACGCGCAGTTGTCGACTGTGGTCCTGAATGAAAACCCGGATAGGGCATCTCATTGTCATAATGAATATACTAATGATTATGATTATGTACCGAATGTTCCAGGTTCAATTTTTTATGTTTCGTGCTTATCTTTGTTTAATTTCCGATTATAATTATTAGGTAAGTGCTTATTACTTTTGTTATTTTTGTACATAAACATGTTTTCGATTTAAACAGAAACAACAAGAAATTGCGCCATTATTATATCAATTAAAAATTTGTTTGTTTTCTTGTCAATATAATACATTTTCTTTAGAACACAAATCACAAGAGAGTTAACTGCAAATTATAATCTCTTTAAAATTTATATAGTACTTAAGCAAAATTATTACGTATTGTGTTTTAATTATCAATATTGATATGTAATTTACGTGAAATTAAATAAACAATATTAAACAAAAAAAATTTTTTTAATTATGACAAAAATGAGGACAAATCGTTGGCCAATCAATTTCAAGGACTATAAAAATGTCTACAGAATAATTAGGCTACCATTGCAATGCATTGTAACATTGTTCGGAAAACTGAATTTGGGTATTTCAGGAATGTTTTTGATACGATATAGTAGAACTCATTCGATCGATATAGCAAATGATATCACCGTAGGTGTTATAATAAAACAAATCTTTAGGGAGATGAGCATAATTGTTGTCTATTTGAATATATAAGTCGCTTGAGCTAATTCTACTTGTTATTGGCGTACTTTAAATCTTTCGCGTTGCCTGGTTGGCTTAAAAAACTTTGGTGGAAGCCCTAATGACGACCATAAATTATACTATAACCAATTTAAAATTGCTCTACTTATGTCTTTTATATATATAAAACAGTTTGTCCTGACTGACTGATTGGTGATCAACATACAGCCCAAACGGTAAAAGCTAGGAAGCTGAAATTTGGACTCAAGTATCCTTTCATAGTGTAGGTGCCCACTTGGAAAATTCGAGCTCCAAAGGGGGAAAACAGGCCCCAACGTTTGTATGAAAAATCTACAATTTTCATCTGATTAACTTCAAACTGAGTTTGTAGAAACTAAGAAAAATTCCAAGAAAAGCTGTATACTTGGTTTTTTGAAATTTTTTTTTGGGAGCAAATATATTTTGGCTATAACTTCTTCTTAAATCGGTCTATTATAATGAAACTTGGCACACGGACACATAATCACTAACTGGGGGTATTTGAAAAATTTGAGTTCGAAATTCCAAGAATTACGATTTGCATGGGAGAGGGGGGAGGGAGGGAAATTCCAAAATACACATTTTCTGCGTATTTACATAAGGACTAAAATTTTGTGTCCCTAGGTCTTATAGTCTCCGAGATATAGGTGATTATATGAACGGAAAATCGGGAAAACTCCCATAGGGGGGAAGTGGGGGAAAAAATTTCACAGCGTACATACATAACGCATCTTTGTGCAAGGTTCGGTGTCTCTGCCCTCTTATAGTCTCTGAGAGCCAGGTGTTCATACGGACAGACAGACAGGGCTAGATCGACTCGTCTCGCCATGCTGATCAAGAATATATATACTTTGTGGGGTCTGCCACACCTCCACCTGCCTGTAACATTTTCAGCTCCCGCAAACCTAATATACTCTTGTACATTTCATGTACATACAGAGTATAAAAAGGTCTTAACCCAAGAATAAAAGATTTATTTATAGTTTTTATTTGGGTTTACTAAAGCGCTCAAACTGTTTAACCTGCATATCGCATATGATATTATATATTTTCCGCTTTGTTTCGATTAGTAAATCCTGGTCGAGCATTTTAATTTCATTGGTGACAAGTTCACCAAATGATTTTTGGCTGGCACATTTTATATCAAAGGACTCCCTGGGCGGTCGATCGTTATAAACGTGTGTTTCTTTCAGGAGCTCTTCTCCTCTTACGAAAATGTTTGATTTCATGGGAGGCGGTACTTCAATGATTTCTTCGGTTGAACTCACTAGATCGTTTTCGGAAGCCTTGAATAATATACATAGAAGTATTTATAAATCATATAAACTTAATTTGAAAATATAATTTATCACCTTAACTTGCACGTTTTCGTCTTCTGGTTCAAACATCACAGCATTGCTCTCATCAAAGTAAATTGAGCTCATTGATGCATCTACAAAATACAAGTTTGATTTGATCGGATATAAATTATGTGCGTGAGGGCAACCATACTTGAACTTGAGCTTGAGGTGCAATCAGGAAATGGCTCTTGTTTCGTTGACTCTAAAGGCCCAAGAATCTTAACTAACTTTTCGTAATGAACCCAGTTTGATTCTGGGCCTTCAGTGTCTCGAATTTTTCTGCAATTTAGAATTTTAATTTAAATGTGCATGCATTAGGATTTTGAATGGAATCTTACCTGAATTTGCGTTTGGTAGATTCTATTTTCGCCTTTATTTTACCGGGATCGATTTCTATTCCATGAGAAAAAAGTTCCAATGCCATTTCCTTATAAACATCCATGTTTACTCTTTCACTGCGCAACTCTTGAATATTTTTCTCCCACAATTCCAGAAAAATCATTTCTTCTTTAGGAGACCAACATTTCCGTTTTCCCATTTTAAAGTCTAGTTCTTTTCCCGTCTCACTCGCACACGTTTTTCTTCTTTTGGTAACAGGTGGTGGACTCATTTGCGAATCTTTAATGTAAATATCTTCATTTTTATCCGGTGCATCTGAGATGTCGTCATCGTCAAACGAAAGAGTAGCGCAATCTTCATCGAAGTGCGGAGTAAAGCTTGAGTCTAGGATTATAATTAATCTAACGTTAACAATTGTGTAAATACTCGAAAATGAATATTTCCGACAAACCTGAGTAATGGTCCTGAGGCTCAAAACCTCTCGATGACAATTTCTCTAAGGAACTGAGAATTTTAACCATCTTGGAGTAATACTTCCAACGCGATGATGAACCAAAGTTCTCATGTTCAAACCTTCATGCGTAGATGTATGTATGTATGTATATACAAAAATATGTTAGGGGTTATATTTCGCACTCAATAATTCCCAGCTGCGTCATACTTAAATTTGCGCTTGTTTCCTTCCATTTTTGCTTTAATTTTTAATACATCGACATGGATGCCAAACTGTTTTAGGGCCTCGGCCATTTCTTTGTAGACGTGCGTAAGCTTTCTACCACTTTGCAAACCTGGCAGAGCCGCCATCCAAAGATTCATAAAGTGATCCTCCTCCCATGGCGACCACACCATGCGATTTGATTTATGAGCAGTAGGGCTCACTGAGATTGAACTTATGTTAATATCAAGGAAAACGAAATTAAGATATTGCTTACTCGTAAGCAGCTTGACCTGTGAAAGGAGCGCGTATTAAAACATTTAATGCTATAGTTCCTAAAATAATACTTCAATAGAGCTGTTTGCGTTTGTGAAAATTCTATTGCAATTTGCAAACAAACTGTGTTTTGCTTTGCATTTGCATTAGTGCTGGGCGAAACATCGATTTAAAATCGATAAATCGATGTTTTGTAATTTTTTCCAAACATCGATGTTTTATTTCCGATTTTCGATGTTTTTTACTACTTGAAAAAAAAAATCGCGGGAAAAGCTAGGTTAGTAAAAGCTATAATTTGCTTTTTTGAATAAAACCCCTAATATAATACAGCCATGCTCATTTTTATTAACAAAAATGAGTGGATCTCAAACAATTAGTCATGAATTTTATTTTTTTTTATTTTTATGTTATGTTTTTATAACAAAATATTCTTTGAATTTATGAAAATATTGTTTTTTGTTGAAACCGTTCGTATTATATAGGAAAACTTAGCTTTATGAATAAGATGACAATACAAAATGAAGTACCCTATTTATAAGGATCAACAATCAAATCAATCTGAAATTACTCACTAACTATAATTTTTTATGTTATACTTTCTCTTGTTTTTAGTTTATTATTTTAAGTTATAAAAATATCGTTTGTTTTAAAACCTTTTGTACATTTATAAATAAGACAAATCAAAACGAAGTGCCCAATGTTGTATATTAATTTTTGTTTGAAAATTTGTTAGTGGAATTTCGATGCATCGATGTTCTTCCCCAAAAAAATCGAAACATCGATGTTTCCCCAGCTCTAATTTTCATTATCTGGCAGCACCGCAGTAATGTTGTACAGTGTACACAAAAAATACCAAACATAATACTAGTCCGTGCTCTTTGAAAAAATTTTTAGCTTATGCATATTATTCATTTTATTTACTACTGGGTACTTATACTAAAAAAAAAACAAAACTGATCTTCATATGTACATGCAATAGACAGATAGCGGGAAAGTTATTCTTGTTGAATGTAAACAAAACATAAAGGTGGCCAAATAATTTTCTTTAAACAAATAAGATTTACATCGGCTTTTTTTACACTCTCATCGTATTTTTAAAGGGATGGACATATTTGTTAAACATTTCAATGTAGTATCTGCGCACAGCTGAATGACATATTCTATACTAATCTTAAGACAATTTAGAAATATCAGTACATCCTAATTTTAAAAAAATTGGCGATTAAGTATTTGCTTTATATAACTTCCAACGCTTAAACTCGCCAAAGTACTGTTTTCTATGTTTCAAAAATAAAAAATTAAGATTGGTTTTATTATTTTTTCGTTTTCATAAAATATGAAACGTTTGAAATTTGTTTTCTATCCCTCATTGCGTTGGAGCTGTGCAATCTGTATATCGCAAATTATAGAATAAATTTTTCTTTTTGCAAGAATTAACAAGTCAGTGTCCAGCATCTCCAGCTCTTTTGTCACAAGTTCACCAAAGGTCTCCTTATCTGGTCCCCTTGTATGCGTGTCTGGTTTCTCATCTTCATACTGATTTATTGCTTTGTTGGAATCGATTGTATCTTTACGCTGTTCCTTCTTAATTTTCTTTACAGGCGGCTCATCACTTGTGCTTTCATCATCATACAGTTCTTCAAAGTCTTCCAATGTTCCGTTACTTTTACAAATTTCTTCCGTTGAAGTAACAAGGCCGACATTCGAGGTTGATTTGTTAACGGCTTCCGTGTGCCGTTTTGTTGAACCTTCTTCAAAATAGTCTGAATCAAGACTACGTGCTGCAAAGAAAAATTAATGCACTTGCGCAAAGCGCTTGCAATATTTAACTGACTTACCTGAACTCGAAATAGAGGGCTCATCAGAAAAGGCTTCAAACTTAACAGCCTCCAAAGGTCCTACAATTTCCGCCATCTGCTCGTAGAACTCCCACCTTGAGGGCTTTTCTGCATCGCGTTCAGTTCTGCATTAACATATGCTATTACAAATTTGTTAAGTGTTTGTACATACACGCATAAATGTGCACTTATGTACATATGTATGTATGTATATGCTTCATGTAAGTACGTTTTTCTCTCTCTTAATCTTACTTAAATTTTCGTTTCAAGGACTCCATTTTCGGCTTGATTTCAGCCAATTTAACTTCAATGCCAAGGTCTTGGAACTCGGCTGCCATATCCCTATAAACATGTGCGTGTTTGCGTTCACCACGCAGCTCCGTTAAGTACCGTTTCCACACTTCCAAAAAACGCTCTTCCTCATCATAATCCCACTTTCGTCGCTTTTGTCGACCTTTCACTTAATTAAAAAGTAAAGAGAATTCATAGTAAACTTTTAAATGAAAAACACAAGCTTGAAAGCAATAAGGAGGATCAGTACACACTTTTTGGTTTATTTCTTTTGCACTCCACTATCGCATATGTATTTGAATTTGTTTTGCAGCAAATTTTCATTGCTTTCTGTTGATGCTGATGCAAGTTGTTTGTCGCAAAATGCCTCAAGATGGCAGCTGCACCAAAAGGGTTGGATATTAAAACCAGGGATGGAGAGTCAAATTATCGATGCACGAGCTTAGAGTGAATGGCAAAGTAATTGGCATCGGCTACTTTATTTACCTATTTCTACAGCTGATACACCATGAACAGTTTAACATAAACATACATACATTAGCACAACTTTTACTATCTTTGAGAATTACGTTGGAGTTGCTTTAAGTGGGCATCACAAATTAGATTGTATACTTTTCGTTTAGTGTCTACGCGTAGGTCTTCTTCTAATCTTTCCAATTCTTTCGTTACAAGCTGACCGAATTCATATTCTTGAAGTCCAGAGTCCATTGAATCCTCAAAGCTGTCGGTATTTTGTAGAACAGCAACGCACTGCGTTGACGATATGTCTGAGTCCCTGTATGGTCGTTCTGAATTCTCGTATACCTCCTTTGTTGAAGTCACACAGCCAATGGTTGTGACCTCCCGCTTAGTCTTAGTTTCTTCGTCGTCCAGTAAGATGGAATCGTAATCGTTCAGGTACACTGAATTGAAATTCGTGTCAGAGGTGTCATCGGAAAAACTATTAAAGCTTTTATCTTCTGCAGGCCCCAGAATTTCGGCCATCTTTGCATAATGGATCCAGTTTGAACATTTATCTTTATCCCGTTCAACTCTGAATGCAAATCACACAATATTTATATTTCAAATTGTAATGTTCCAAAATGCAATCTTACCGAAATTTCCGCGTGACAGTATCAATTTTCGTCTTAATATCAGTAACAGTAACGAACACTCCCTGATCCGCAAGCTCGTTAACCATTTTTATGTAAATTGGACCATTTTTTCTTTCGTTTCGCAGAAGTGGTAATTTACTGTGCCAAACATCTAGGAAGCAACTTTCCTCCATTGTATTCCAACGCTTTCTTTTTTTCTTATTTTTACATAGTTCTGTTTTCATGGGCTGCAAAAAATTGTCACTATTGGTGGCAATACATCCTTTTATCTTTTGTGAAGGCATTATGAATAGACTAACTTTTTTGGGCGTCCAAAGCTAAATATGTTGTGCTTGTAGCGGCAGCGTTAGCATCAGCTGTCTCTAGGGCTGGACAAACGGCTTGCAAATATACTAAAAAATGCCAAATATAAGAAAGTGTTTCTTAGAAGGTTTTCTTTTCTGAGAGCATAATTTTCAGCAATATCCTTCGGAATTATAATGGCAATATCGATGCAAAATGAATTATTTTCATACCCTCCACACATTCAAATAACAAAAACTGTTTATTTTAAGTGGCATCAATGAAACAAATTGTATTGATTTTTTGTTTTGTACACAGAGTTCTTCTTTATTGATGACTAACAGCACCAACTTATGTCATTCGAAGATGCTTGGCATTACCATAAATTTGGCAGAAAATGAATTGTGTACGATTACAATGCATAAAGTCTAATTGCAATACAATTTGAAAAAATTCGTGGTCTATTTGATTTTGCGGCTCCTGACCAATCAAAAGTACTATTTCTTTTTGGGCCAGTCGTTGGAAAAATAGAGGAGATAGACGATCAAATTTTTGAAATGGGGAAGCTGTGTGGTTCCCGTTATGCTAAGATAGCTTAAACATTTGATTTGGAAATACATTCCGGAAACGCGTATCAAATCAAGTAAACGTTATTGTGACATATGTATGTATGTATGTAATAGTATGATTTATTTGACTTCGAAGCTTTAAACTTATTTACATGATTGTGCATTAAGCGAAATATTCGTGGTATGCGTTACAAAATATATGTGGATGTATGTATGTATACATACATATATTTTTTCTATATTTTCTGCTAATAGATACAATAAAAATATGCTTGAAACTTTTCGATAAAATTTGATAAGGACACTGCAGGTTTCCGTAATAAGGCTGTGTCAATCTTCAATTGTTATACATTCAATAACATCGTTTGTGATAAAAGTTTAAACAGCTGTATTTCATATGGGACTCATGCTTGCTTATACATATCTAGATCTCGAAGAGTATGCATTTGCATTACATACTATCTGCTCGTATGCGTTTTATGTATGTATGTATGTGTAATACGCATACAAAAACAAGTAATTAGTTTAACATGTATTTTTGGTTGACTTAAGTGCTAATTTATCTAAATACTAGTCCGCAAATAGTTTGCATTACATTTCTGAAATTTGAAAACATTTTACATAAGCAGCATTGAATATTACACATTATAAAATAAACATGACACAAAACAAAAAATGTTGCGTAACTTACGAGTTCAAGGGAATGAATGAAGAATGGGGCTTGGCTATTGCGCGCTGATGATGATTATTACTTCTATTTAATTAAGTTTTAGCAGGATTTGAATTATGTAAGATATAGGAACGTTATTATAAATATGCATAAATATATATGTAAGTATGTATGTATGTGTGTATGTGTTAACACTGCGACAAATCAAAAGTGATCAAAGCTGGCCACAGAAATTATAAATTAAAATTCCGAAAATTAACCCACACTCAATTTTTGGGCTTCACTTAAATTAATTAGCAAACTTACATGTTTATATCACTTTTTCGCAAATGAATTTGTTTATAAATTATATTGAGGCAATTAAATTAGGTCTCTCATTTGGTAATAAGAAATTTGAAAACAATTTTAAATGAAGCTGTTTTTGTGTCACTTAGAAGATGTTGATACGGAACTCGCTGACTATGCTCTCGAGGAAGCTCTTCAGACTATTGTAGGAGTTCTTGTGCCAGTGGATGTTGTCATTGACCTGCTGCATGGCCAGCTCTATCGCTGCCTCCACTGTCTTCAGACCTAGAGTGCGGCAGTGCGCGGCAAATTGTTGAAGCTGTTGTTTGTGGAACTCCTTGTTCATATAAATGGTGAGTGACTTAATCATCTCGTTTAATGTGGAGAAGCCGTCGCCATAACTGTGAATTAAACAGAAGCAACATATTCACATATTTCTTCACATGATTCTTTAGTATTCGATACGCACTATTCAGCGATTTCCTTGATGTTAGTCTGCAGAAAATCGAAAGCGATGTCATAGCCAATCGCATTGGAGGCAACCGCTCTGAAAACAAGCGCGCCGTCCTGTTTTAAAATGCCAGAAGTTGAGTTAATGGTCATATTTAGATACCTGTAGAAGAGAAGAGATGGAGGATAAAATTAATTGGATTTACCCAAAAATAAATTAAATCGTGGGTCTATGGGTCTAATTATTATTAAGTTTAAAATCATTTTTATAGGCCCTGTTCCAAGTGTCGAGCTCAAGTAAATTAACCTTTATTTATGGTCAGAGTAAATATTTACAGCAAAATTTGTATACCCAGTACCCGTAGGGTAAAAAGCGAATAGTAGGTTTGTGTAAACAGGCAGAAGGAAGCATCTCCCACTCCATAAAGTAAATATATTCTTAATATATATTTCTTTAAATTAAATGCTCTTTATAGAGGCTTCTATGCGATAAAACAAATATAGAATTTATGGGCATACTTACTTCGAAAGCAGCCATGGCTTGGTGGTGCAGCCCAGCGATGCTAAAATCTCCTCCTTCTCGGATGCGCTGGTCGTTAATTTGTACTGCTTATAGGCGAAGTACCACTCAGGATAAGAACCTTCCGCGAGGGCCGTGCAGTAGATGACTGATTTAAGATTGGGCTTAATACTACAAGACGAAGTGAGTTAAGAAACAGTTGTTTTAGGGGCTACCCAGCTCTGCGACTTACGGATTTTTCTTGGGGGCAAGCATCCAGTCCCGGAATTTCTTGTGTGCAGCTTGGGTACAGCGATCATAGTTGAACTTACACGCGAAGTTTGCCACCAGAGCACGGTGCTTAAGCTGAAGATGAGACTCATTGTCAGGCTCGTTCAGGCCGTATCTATCGAACGCAGCACGCACAATGAACTTCATGAAGGCCTAGCGGGGGTATCGCAAATAAATTATGTCAGTAATGTATCCAATTAACTAGAAACAATGTGATGGACCTACTCTGAATGTTTCATAAGCTGGCTCTCGCTTCAAGCTGTAGGTAAGGTAGTTGATGCCTGATTTTGCAGCGCTCCATAGTAATTCGTCGTCGACGGACGTGACGAGCTCTATTAGAAAGGTAAGAGGTATGTCATAGGACAAAAATTCGGCCTGCGATAGATGAAGAGCATCGTCCAGCAGTTGAGCGCGAGTGATACGCGGAATGATGCTGAAGTTTTTCTTCAGAGCTAGCCAAGAGGGCATGTCGTAGTTGACACGATAGTAGCCCTGACGATTCAGATTCAAATAGACGACATTATCTTCATTGTTGCTAGTGGTGAAGACGTCATTTATGAGAAGTTGGTCCTGGTCCGCCTGCATCCAGTGCGTTGGTATGTTGTCCCCTTTGTGTAGCTCGCTTGTTTCATATGTGATGGGAATGACCCAGCGGCTTTTATCTGCGGGATTGCGGGCAGGAAGCTGATATCGCTCTTGCCGCAGCACTAAATTTGCGCCACTTCTCTCTACAGATACTACCGGATAGCCTGGCTGATTAATCCATGGGTCCATGATCTGTTTGATATCCATATTCTTTGGCAACGTGCCCTTCAAATGGCCGTGGCGCGTCATATAGGCCCACAGATCATTGCGATCTATGTTTTCGTAAGCGAATGATTGCAGCAAATCCTGCGTGGCAGCGCGGAATGCTTCATCACCTACAATCGAGTTAAGCATGCGCAACAATATTGTGCCTTTAGAGTAACTTATAGGATCAAAGATACGACGAATGTCGCTAGTGGACTTGACGTCAAGGGAGATCGCGTGCGAGGTATTATCAGCGTCGTGCTGCATGGACTCTTTAAACTCCAGAACTGTAAATGTATCCATGATCTGATATTCGGGATGGGCATTGTTAAGCGCAATGTAGCTCATGTAACAGGCGAATCCTTCTTTCAGCCAGAGATCGTCCCACCACTTGGGGGTCACTAGATTGCCGAACCACTGATGAGCAAGCTCATGAGCTATAATCTGAGCCACGTACTGCATGTGCTCGGAGGATGAGGCAAGCTCAAGATCCTCGGGAACAAGCAGCGCCGAATCGCGGAAAGTAATAAGACCCCAATTTTCCATGGCTCCGAATCCAAAGTCTGGAATAGAGACCAAATCGATTTTGGGCAGCTTGTTCTTGATGCCAAAGTACTCCTCGAAGAAGGGCAGGAACTTGCGCACCATATTGTAAGCGTAGTTCGTCATGTCCGTAAAGGTTGGACGAGTCCAGATCTCTACTCGCGGCTTGAGAGCGCTATCCATGTTGGCGTAGCTTGAGCCCACCATGTTGGAGACTACGAATGCTACCAGGTATGTGGGCATTTTCGGCGTGGTGAGGAAGTCGTCGCGTATATAGCCTGGCCGATGGGGGCTGCAATAGTATAAGGTTAAAGGATTATATAGAGCCATGATTATTTTGCATGTTCTGCTCACCTGCTTCGTCTAAGAGGCATATTGGATAGCGACATGGCCTTGCTGCTCTCACGTATAATACTGATGGTAAAATTTGCCTTCATGTCAGGCCTGTCGAAACAAGGAAATGCTCGGCGCGCATCGACGGGCGAGAACTGCGTGCTGACCATCCATCTATAATTAAAAGAAATTACTCAGTCAGTTGGAAAAGAAGAGAAGTTGTCTACTTACTCTTGCTTATTGTTGGCTGTATTGAGATAACTCGTCTTATAGACTCCCTGCAGCGTGTCTGTCACCTGACTGACAAAGTCCAGACTCAGCACAACCCGCAGCTTGGTCTTACTGACCAAGTCCTTGGATAGATTGATCACAAATGTTGCATTATTCTCGCCATAGTCGCTATCAAAGTCCACTTCCAACTCATCGGCAGGAATGGCTTTGTTGGGTGGGGTGGCGGTAGCGATGCTTTCATTGTCATTGGTAGCTTGTATGACTCGCACGTTGGTAATGCTGACATTGTGCACATCTAGAACAATGGGTTCCCAGGTGGACACTTTATCATCGCGTTCGATTTCAATGGCGACACTGCCATTGCTTGCAGAGGCTGCAATGTTCGGTTCAATTGTAATGCTGCAAAAACAAATAAAATCATCGCCAGCATTAAAAATAGTTTTATGAAATTAAAGTATTATAATATTTGTATAATCATTCAATGAAAAGGTTTTCTAGACCTGAGTGGTGGTGACTTCATTCGGATTTCTGTAAACATTTCTTTAATTCTTCAAATATGTTAAAGCCATACGGGCTGAACTCTCGTATGTACTAAACCAGCCTCTCTTCTTCTCTCCCCGCTATAATCCTTCCGTTAAAATAAACCATTTTGCACCAATACTCAAACGATTTCAATTAACCTTAGTACAGTGAAGCATTTTTGAAAACTTAAAAATATACAATTCTATGTGTTCTTCTGTGTTATGAAACTCATACGCTGCCCTTCTTAAGGCGAATACTTCCACATGGAACACACTATCAGGTAGCTTTTTCAACCACTTAAGCTCAGGATCTGTCGCCCCAGTTCCTATATCTATATTCGAGCCATCTGTAAACAAATTCGTTGCGTGTTGGGCAAGTCCTCTGCGCCAATCATCTGGTTAATTCTAGAATAACTTCATAGAAAGATCATCACTTGCCAATTGATTAAGTTGATGGATAAGCTGAGTTGTACTTTCGAACTATGAGGAAGAAGATTATCCTTCTACCAGTTAAGGTTAGTCGTGGTGGCAGTGATTCGATTCAGTTGGAAGTTGCGTTCTCAGCATAGTGACTGATCCAAAGAACGCAAGAGATGTCCCATCATATTAGAATGATGTGTTATATAATTGCTTGCAGGCAGGTCTTCTGATATTGGAAGAGTGCCGACGGCTCGGTCAATTCAAAATGCATTTACCTTTCTATTCTTTGCATACGAATCAGACCTTCTTCAATGACAATGATAAACATTTCTTGCATTTTTTGGCAGCCCTTTACCAACAGGTAGAAGGAATTCTGTTACTGCAGCTGCCAAAAATGCCGTCTTGTCATTTCTGCTCAATCGAGGCATCAATCAAAAGTGCCAATCAGTCAACACTGCTTTGCTTTTTTGGTATGCTAATTGCAATTTAGCAAACAGAAACGGTACAACACGACGTATGAGCGATGCGATGTGGCAAGTGAACGGCAAATGAAATGCTTGCAATTAAATGCAAGCAGAAAGATTGCAGATCGATTCCCCAGTTGGCTCAGCACATGCCAGGCATGCCCAGTTGCCGTCCCAGTCCCGTCCAGTCCCGTCCAGCCCCGTCCAGCCTGACCCAGATGGTCCCCAGAGATGTGTGCATGCGCGTGTGTATCCTCATATGCGCCTTTACGCCTTGTTGCCGTTAATTGAAGCGATTGGCTTACAATGCGTGCTCGGCGCAACCAGGAAGCGCACTCGCAACAATTTGCCAATGGACGTCGATTGGCTTCTGTTGCCCACTGGCCCGGCCGTCGTTCACTTTGATCCGCAGCTGCTAAATCTGTGGAATCGATTTGAGTGCACTGGCAGCTCAGGCGCGGCCAACTTCACTCGCAAACTGTGGCTAAGGAGCGTGCAGCGCACAAATTAATGCCGGCCTAGGTTTTCTATGTCAATTACATTAATGCATGCGGCACCAAAGCACGCCGGCTACTCATCCAATTGATTCAACTTGGTCTCATATCGAGTCAACACACATCGTCTATCTCACGCATTATGTCATGCTGGCTGTCGACTCGCGTGCTGCAGACTGATGGCGTTTGATCTTCGCCGCTAGGCTGTAAGTTCCGCATCGTTGAAGTGGGACTGGAGTTGGCGTTGCCGTCACTTCTCTTTCAGAACCATCTTTCTGTGCGCCTTTTGTGGCTTGGTCTCCTGCGGCGCCCTGAACAAGTTGTTATGTCCACACTAGTTGGAGTGGATGTTTATTTAGTGTAAGTGGCAATCGACTGCTACATTGCTGTCCCTGTCCATGTGTCACTAGCCATTCGAACTGGAGACATGGCAGTGCGCGCTTGGAATCAAATGAACCGTAGCCGCGTCATCCTTGACCCAGTTTATTTGTGCTAACCCAAAACAGAAACTTATGGCAATCAATGTTGGCATGACGTCACATGGAACACACACACACACACATGTATGTTGAGGACGTGGTACAAGTAGGATGCGAGAAGTGGAGAACTCCGGCAGAAGGTTGAATGCTGCGACAGCCAAAAAGATTATATTAAGCTAAAGTATGTAGTACCGAAGCCAATATAATCGTATGAATACAAGTACAATAAACGTATATACTCGTATATGTACATATTTATCATTTTGTATCATTTTTTCAGATACCTAGCTAAAGAAAACAATTTGTCTCCCTCTTCAATATTTGTCTAAGCTAAGTATAAGATTATTATTCATTTGAGTGACTGACGATGAGTAGAATATATTGCACTTAAAATCTCGTTAAATCTTAAACTCAGTGAGGGATAAATCAGAAAGCACGTTATATATCTAGATACGATACCGAATTCTTTTAAGCTACGATTTAACTTTTAGAGGACAGTCGATACAGAGTGTTAGTTGCTACCGTTTATTGGCAGCTAGGTTTGTCCAAAGGTAAACTTTTCAAAAAAATATTTTAATAGGACTTCAATTCTTCTATAATATCCAATGCCACGTTCGGTGATTTTATTCGCCATCCGGCAGGCTATGCCGCGACTTACAGCCAAGTGTAGCTAACGATGGAAAAACAAATATTTTTTTGTAATTTGTGGTAGAAGGCGCCGAAAGCCTAACAGATAAGTACTGTAGATTGTACCTTGCAAGCACCACACGCTGTCAGGTAAGCGTCCCGTAATGGCTTTCAAGAGCGAACCGGAAACAGCAGTCACAACAAATCTCGACACACAAGCTGCGCCAAGTTGGCGCTGAATCTCCTTTCTCCCTCCTTTCTTCTGGTGATTTTCTGCGAATCACACTTTATCAGTCTACTTTGCTGCCTTGTCCGTCTATCTGCGTGCCTGCCACTGCTGCCCTGCTGTGCCGCAAATTGAAATGCGAACATGCAAAACAATATACAAGTAATATCAATTCAGAAGCCAAATTGGCGCACATGGCGTGTGGATGCGCGAAAGTAGCGTGCGGCAATTTTCATTAAATTCAATTTAAACTTAAGTGTAAAATTGTGCGATCCCCAGGCCCGCCACTGGCTGGCTACTCGTACTTACGTGTAGTGTAGAGGCCGCCAGCCCTCGAAGAGCTTAAGGGGGCGCTCGGCCGCCTTTACTTTGGTCTTGTTGCTGCCAAAGATCTCGTGGTCACTGATACTGGGTATGTCGCCTACAGGCGCCTCAACTGGTTCAAAGCGCGCCTTGACGGGAGGCGACATGCTCAACATGCTGGCGGTTGCCACAGGCGTTGCATTTGTATGCATGTGCTCGTCATTGTGTCCATTTGCTTGTGAATGGCCATTGAGGCAGCCGCTGGGAGAGGAGGGAAAACAGAGTGGGTTAAGTAAAGTGCAGCACACAATTTATTTACACAAATGAAAGCATAAAGCCACGCCTAGGAAAATACTTGTATTCTGACCCTTTCGCTGCCGACACACCTCGAAATGCGTCAGCCAAGAAAACTCGCAAATTGGTTTCACTTTCTGCGATAATTTCGAAATGAGGTCACATCCGGGGGTTACGCTAAGCATATGCAAAAATCAAATGACCGCTTCGCCCATTATCGCCCTTTGATTTGTGCAAATTTAGGTATACTTGTATATATAAAGGATGTATCGATGCATTACTCACCTTGTTGTGGGCTGGCTAAACGAGGCCAGAAAATATGTTATGATAATCGAGGACAGCAGCGCCACCAGAATAATGAACGCCGACAGCACTAGGCAGGTCTTCGAGACATATACCCCGGATGGGGGACCGTTGAACACATATTTTTGGCCATTTTTTGTCTTAAGTTGGCCGCCTGCAAGGAGGAGAGAAATAGAATCCAATTAGTGGGATAATTAAGACTACAAGGTGTGTTCAAAAGTAAACAGGACTTATAAAAAATAACAGAACAAATGCTTTTTTCGACAATATCAATTTAATTTGTTCAAAATAGTCTCCTTCTGCTTCTATACAGCTTTTTGCACGATCCAAAAGCAGGTCGAACGAGTGTTTTAGCTCGTTGGCCGGTATGGCCGCCAGTATGCCGGTGCAAGCCTTTTGAATGGCCTCTACGTCTGCATAACGCTTTCCTTTCATGGGCAAATGCATTTTCGGAAAAGGTAGAAGTCGCACGGTTAATACGGCGAGTGGTTAATGGTTAAAATGTGATTTTTGGTCAAATAATCGGTCACAAGTGTCTGAGCAATTTCGGCTGATTTTTGATGAATTCACGCACGGTTTCTATGGAATTTTCGGTGATCACGAATTTTGATTGGCCCACATGTTGATCGTCATTTATGTCCTCACGACCACTTTGAAAACGTTGAAACCACTCGTGCACTGTGCTACGGGATAGGCAATCATCGCCATAAACTTGTTCCATCAATTGAAATGTTTCGGTAAAAGTTTTACCAATTTTAAAACAAAATTTAATGTTGGTTCTTTGTTCGAAGCTCATTTTCGCACCGATAACACAAACATACTGAAACTTAAAATCGATGAAATGTCATGAAATTCTCACTGGACAATCGATAAAGATAGCAGATTCTAACGCACCAGTCGACATATAGATAGTGCCACCAGGGGCGCGAGACTCAAAAAGTCCTGTTTACTTTGGAACGTTCCTTGTACAATAGCTGGCCACAAAGTATTAAGAAATAGTGATGATGCATGCAAAGTTAATCACTGTCTAATTATTAGTAATCAGGGTGTTCCATTGGAAAACACTTGCATGACATTGGGGAGCCTAACATTTATCTTTTTTTAAACCTACTATACTGTGTATTTATCGAATAGCGGAGTAAATTCGTAAAGTAAAGGAAATGTTTTTAATACAAAGTGATTTTTTTACGGTTTGGTTCGGCAATTCAGACATATGTAAGTATGTATATATAATGTAGTGAATGGATTTTGAAAATACTAAATACAGTGCGCTGATTTTGATGAATCTTCGAGAACCTTTACAAAGAGCAATTAAGTTGTTCAAAAAATTCTCAAAAACAGAACTGTTATCCTACATATAGACATTATAGACCTACCCCACTAAAAAATAGATAGTAGAGGAGAAAATTTAATTCTACTAAAGAGCTATGTATCTAGGTGAAGTAAGGCAGAAAGAGAAAAAGAAACCGAAAGAGAAAAATGAAAATCTCCAAACCGGTGGGGGGAAGTTTGATTGCCAGTCTGGCCAGCTTTGCTAATTGGGGTTGTGGTTGGACGAATCGGTCTATAAACTCTTAATTATGTCTTCTTCTACCTATTACACACATTTGGGGCTTAAGCTTTCCCACACTTTGGGTAGAAGTGTTAGGACACAATCATATTTTAAGTTATACAATTGGGTTAGGCCTTTTTTGTCGAATGTCTAGCATAAAGTTTGTAGTAAGTGGTATTGTCGCCGACGTCGTTGAAATCAGCTTAAACAGTGGCGCTTATTTGAATATTTTGCTTGCAACATTTGAACATTTGAAACAAATACTATGTGCCATGTTAATTCTGGGTATTGGCTATTATTCTATGCCATTCCAAGTCTACAGTTGCAATTTCAATGGCTTTTTTTATAAATATTATGCACCAACCATTTCGGCGCACAGCAAGTGAACATAAAGCCGACACCCATTTGATTTATAGCATAATTTAGGCCACATTCGAGTGGAGGAAATTAAACGTTAACGGGCAATTTAGCGAGGTGTCGACAGCGCCATGAAGTGGCTCCACTCCACTCCACTCCAGACACGGAGCTGGCCCTCTGGACAGCGTCGGCAATGCACATTGGACGCGGCCGAGGCAAAGATCATTAAACTTGGAACACGCTGAACACACAAAACGTATTTCTTTTATGGCGAAAATTGAGTGAAATTAATGTGTAGCTCATTTTTAAGGCTAAACATTTGTTGTGCGCGCTTATGGAGATAGAAAGAGGAACTACGAGTACGTACATATGTAAGCTAGCTATGTATGAGTATGTATGAATAGATAAATAATTACAAACTGCAACAGTGCTGTCTAACTGTTTGTGGATTACTTGTGAATGCTTTAAAAAAAATAAGCTAGTGCGTTATCGAAAATTCTTGAATGAATTGGCAAAGTAATAACATCAAAGAGCGCCTATAATAGTAACAATAATACTTGTAGTATTTAATATATTGTACAAGTAATCAACTCTTATGGCATTGGTGATCTCAAATGACGAAGTGTAAGACGCGCAACATTTATTTTATGTTTAATGCCAAGGGCGTAGCCAGCTTTTACCAAATGGGGGGCCAAAAAATTAAAATTTTGATTAAATAATTCCTGATGCATTAAAAAAATAATTTATGCATATGATCGATGAAAACACTTCAACAAATTCAACGCAGATCCATCTTAAGGCGAAATAGTGCGTCATAATAATGAACGTGTGGTCGACTTTATATGGAAAAATTTTTTCTAGGGGGGGCAACGGCCCCCCCCTGCGTACGCCCTTGTTTAATGCAGTTAGATTGCTGGAAAAATTTCTTGGTGTTCATTCAGTAACACACACATTTTTATGCTTTTAAATTTATTTGCCCAATAATTCCAAAACAATGATGTTTTGGCCAAAGAAGGTTAGTGCTAATTTAAATCAAATCTCGGAAAACATCTTCTTCATCTTTCTTCTTGAGAAATATTTGTGGGAGTTTCATTAGTTTTTCCAAGCGTTGTCCTCATGAAATGTTACTCTATTAAAGCCAATTTCTGGACCGTAATGAAGTTTTATAGTTTTGGGACAAATACACTTTTGACGATCACTGTAGTCTTCGCTTGGCTATGTTGCTGGACAACGAATGCGAGCAAGAGGTGCACGTGCCGGGCATTTTGAATTACCGATTAGCATTTTTCACTACGGCTATCCACTTGCGGTTGCCACCGGCTGAATATTGGTAGGTTGGTGGGCCCTCTGCCGCTTCTGGCAGTAAAAGCAGAGTGCTTTTGGATAGTAAATGGGCGCCCACTGGTGCATAGTATTATGAGGTCTTTGGCTTGCGCTTTATGGGAACACCAAACGACGTCTTTTGAATGACGACCGCATGTCAGTGACTCTTTTATTGGCGGCTCATATTCGTAGCTGGTTCTGCCCGTAATTAATACAAGTAATAGTTCTGATTGCGAAAATGGGTTAACAATGCGGCTACTTTCTAGCCAACGAGCCGAGCCGCGTGCACCTGCCGCAAAGTTCTTTCCGATTTCGGCGGCAACATCTGCTGTTGAATCGCCTTCACCTGACTTCTTTTGCTTTGATCTTGCACCACAGGCAAATGGAATTTATGTGGCAGCCAGACATTTGTGGCATATGGACAACAACAACGCCGGCATAGAGAATTATGTACATTTAATGAAAGCTGGCCATGCCTTGTGGCCTGCGTGGGTGTTTCGTCTGCAGCCTGCAGCTGTGAACTGATTAGAGATCTTCAGAATGTAAAATGCATTCACCAGATAAATCAGTTGTCAAAAATTATAAATCACAGATCACCACAAATGCGTTGGCACTCAGCGGGGGTGGGGTACGTTGAATGTTTCTCGCTTATTTCTTGTTGTTTTTATTGTTTGTTTATTCCAATGCCTACGAGTATGCCTCAGAGGTGGCAAATGCCAGAAAATATTCATTAGGTAACAGCCGATTCCCTCTAAATGTTTTATGTACCCACATGTGCCCCATTAGTGTAGTTGCCCCATTAGCAACGGCAAATTGGACATTGAACCCGCTGGGTGCGGGACATTGTCTTTTCATATTCATAAGTCCGAATTAAGGTAGCACAAAGTGACAATAAAACGTAGAAATTAAATTTGAACGCTACGGGCGAAGTGAAATTTTCGTGTAGGTGTCTTACGTGAGGCGCCGTTTAAGCGCGTACACGCCCACAATCACGACCTGCTGAACACCTAGGGGCAGAAGTGCGGCACCAACTTAATGTGGGAACAATGGCTGTATTTATGGTGCAGTCCACAAATGGTTTAGCAACATGTTAATAAAGCCAATGGCATGTAGGCGCTTGAGGTAGGTCCCCAGATCCAGAATCTATAGATGGCTTTAACTTTTAGCCTAAATGCAGAGTTTTACTTTTCGGATTCGGTAGGTTATCTAACAATATTAGGGCAAAAAATAATTAAATTCAATTAACAAATTGTTACCTCGTTTTAAAATATAATCAGGTATCTACTTGAATCTGTTCTCTCCCCATAGCCTGCGGAAATTGTTACTTACTCTCTTCGGATAAAGCAACTACACATCGCTACACAGTGGTGCCTACTCCTTACTAATTACTCAATAATAGAAACGTTTTAGTGGAAAATATATAACAATTATGGTGGACATTCCGTTAGATATATTAGATGTCCGATAAGATATAATTTTATTTAAAGTAAGTTTTGAATATAAAATGCTTACTACCTAGGAACTAGGAACTAGCATTCGTTTAAAAAATAGAAATCGTGATTTTAATAATATAAAAACGTGGATTTCAAATATATAAAAATTCTAAAGCTACTTCATTTATAAGTAAGTCCGATTTGTGTAATTGAGGAGGGGAAAGACATACCTAGGAATCTGTCCTTCGAAATATAATCGAAATGTAAACGTTTTCTAATATTTTTCGTATCGTCGAATCTGAAGTTACGCAATTTTGCAACAAATCCATGAAAGGGGCCCCCAGCCGGAGCTGCACCCGGCACCGAGGGCGTGGCTGTAGATGATTCTGATGAGGATGTGGGTAATGATCTGGCGGCGAATGCGTCATTGGCGGTTGTTGTTGTGGTTGTGGGCGCGTATATTGCAGGTGCCGTTAATGGATTTTGTAC